AAATTTGAAAAGCATTTAGAGAGAGATCCAAATGAACTTAGTATTAGGAGTGGAGTATCTGAAGGGTACTTGAACACCATGTTTCAGAAGAGTCTTAATGGTCTTTGTGAGGCTCTACTTTATGGATATTTTAAAAGCCATGTCTTTAAAAAAAGAGTATAAGAAAAAAAGTTTTGATACTTATGTAGTCAGATAGAAAACTCTGAGAAAAGACCATCAAATATCAAACTTCACCGTCAAGAATGACAGCCTTAAAAATGGGATAGACTCTTATTTGGTTAATAAATGTCAAATTATACCTAGAGACACTGAAACAAGTCGAATGCTTTGCAAAGACGTCTTTGTTAATTTTGTTTTGGGCACTATTTTCTTTCTTCTTTGACAATTTCGTACATGTACACAATATATTTTGATTCTGCATTCCCCTTCCTACTCTCTCTTCAGTCTTCCCCAACATGTACTTTTAAAATGGGTGACAAGAGCTGGGCAGTGGTGGTGCATGCCTTTAATCCCAGCACTCGGGAGGCAGAGCCAGGCAGATCTCTGTAAATTTGAGGCCAGCCTGGTCTACAGAGCAAGACCCAAGACAGGCACCAAAAACTACAGAGAGAAACCCTGTCTCAAATAAATAAATAAATAAATAAATAAATAAATAAATAGACAGACAGACAGACAGATAGATAGATAAAATAAAATGGGTAACAAAACAGGTGTTAGTACTGACCATATCATTTAGATATCCTACATGTTATAATGGTAAGTAGAATTCATTATGTGAAATATTGTAAGTTATATACTTTCAAGAAGTAGACTTTAAGATCATCATTCATTATCCATGGTTTGAACTAATTAGAAAGAAAACTTATAGTAATACAATAATATGATTTCATTAAAATGGCCATTGCCTTGAGAAAGGTATTTATAATCGCCTATTTGTATTCCCTAAATGGTTTCCCTGAAATATAATGGCTCATATATTCCTTTAAGGCAACTCCCATTAAAACTCCATTAATTATAGAGTTAAGATATTCTTTAATATAATCTATACCTTCCATATTGAAAACTAACCAAGGACAAACAAAAAAAAAAAACTTAATTTAGGACAAGAAGTTTGACGTATGTTTGTGAGAAAGAGGGGGGAGGGAGGTGGGGGCAGATGGTCAGGTTGTTGAAGGGCAGATGGCTTATAAGGAAAAATAACCAGAGGCATTTTAAAAAAAGGGAGCTTCTCTAAACAGCCTTTCTAAATATGCTTACTTAGATTCATATTCTTGAAAAATTGGAGACTGTTTTCTACATAGTCTAAGATTATAAAATTACCAGTAGAAGAAATTATGGGTGAAAATTAAGCAAATTATAATTATGAAGGACATATTCAGCAGTCATTACACTTAAACACTGTTAGATTATAAATTATGGTGTTAAAAATACAGATGAGAAAAGAGAATCTCAAAGGAGGCATAGTCCTAACAGTAATCTGTTAGCCACTCAAGCTAAAACTTTTGAATCTCTAGTAACTGTTCCTTGGTCCTGCTGATGTCACATCTCCGAATCTACTGAGTCAAAGCAATAAACATGAGTGCTTACACCCTTGAGTATTAACATGGGAGTACAACACAGACTCCCAAAGCTAGCTCTCCTGAAGTGTTTACAGTTAAGGAGTTACTCGGACTCAGAAAGCACTTCTGAAATTGATCTCTTTTAACGGAAATGCTTCAATTCTCTTGTCAACTTCATAACAACTATGATCAAAATGATGCAAGGCTCTGGTCATTTTCCCAAAAAGGTTGAAGGAAAAAGTCAGCCTAGAAATTCATAATGAAAGAGTCCTCAACCTAGGGCATAAGCCACTGTCAGATTTCGTTTTTGTTTACTGTGACAAAATATCAGTAAACTGGCTCTAAACACTAAAAACTAATCTTCAGCCTAAAACAGGTCAAGTTCTAGTAATCTTAGGTGGAAAATTACAAGATAAGATAAATAGCAACCAGAGTGTTGACTAATTTATAGAACCATAAACCTTCAAATTAAATGCCCCTTTTCATCTTAAAAAAAAAATTCTTTCCCTCTTCTTCCTCTAGAGAACCACTGAGCTGAGCACATTAATTTGCTTTTCTATACACCAGCCCAATGGAATTCCAGTGACATGTCGCTCAGTGACTCTAATTTATTTAGCAGTGATGGAGGTTGAAATTATGGCGCATGGACAGTGGGTACTCTACTGCTGAGCCACAACCTCCAGACCAACACTCACCTTATGTGCAAAGTTTAATATACAAGTTTTAATACTTACAAAGAAATGGATCTTTCAAAAAATATTACCAAAATAAAAGTTTAATATTTTCATTGTTTACATATACCTTCATATTTCCCTTGATAACTTTACTTAGGTATAGATGTTAAGCAATAATGACATACATTTACAGTGTACAATATGATGGGTTTTGACAGTTTGTCCATGAAAACATTTCACAATCAGAATTCTAGGCATTTTCATCACCCTTAATTGTTTAATCCATTACCTCTTGCTCCTAACACTAACACACTTTCCTACAAAACTATCAACCTCCTTCGGTTGCTATGGGTTGCTCCACATTTTCTCGAATTGAATATAATCAGATTTATGTAACACCTAGCCCCTTTTGTCTGGCTACTTTCATCCATCAGAATTATGTCATTTATATGTTTTCATGTATTTCACTAGTTTAAAGGATTTTTGGTTTTTCTTTTGTTTTTATTGTACATCAATATATCAGAATATATTTCTTCTATCCACCTGTAGTTGGTCATTTGAGTCTCTCCTCTTAGGTCAACAGCAGTGTCTGTTTATGCTGAATGGTACAATGTATGTTTATCCTTTTTGAGAGAGTGACAAGCTTTTTCTGAAGACTGTACCACAATTCAATTTTGCACCAGAAGAATGGTGGTTTTCCAGGGGTTGCATGTCCCTGCTAACACTTGGGATTGTCAGCCTTCTAATATTAGTCATGTAGAAAGGTATGTTAATACCCCATTGTGGACTGGTGTACAATTCCCTAATGACTTTAACAGAACTGGGGGCCACTGAAAACAATCTCTTTATGCTTTATGTATTTTTAAATGTGTATGCATTACAGTATGTAGTTTTATGGAATTTTGACTCATTTGTTGTATGACACTTGTATACACATTTAACAAATATGCTAATCAAGACACAGAACTGGTCCACAGCTCTAAGAATCCCTTGTGCAGCCTCTTTGCACTGGAACTCAGACAAAAACCTTCAGCTCAACGAGTCACAGGCCTGGTTCTGTTGGATTGTTTCTCCTTTTCTCAACTGTCACTTCAACAGAGCCATACAACACATGGCTCTGAATCTGGCTCCTTTGTTTATCATGATGTATCTGAGATTCGTCCACATCATTTTGCTTAGTAATAGTTTATTTCTATTTATTTTTGAGTATCATTATATAGCTACATGTAATTTTGCTTATCCATTCACCAATTAAAGGCCATTTATGTTGTTTCCAGATCTTACAAACTATGAATGATGCTGTTATATACATCCATACATATAGATTTTTGTATAAAAATTATATATATATATATATATACATATACATATAACAACAATTAAAGAAAAAAAGGCCATTAATTTGAAAACAACAAGGGGGCTACGTTGGAAGGTTTCAGGGGGAAAGAAAAGGTGAAATGATGTAATTATAATATCAAAATATAAAGAAACAACTTTTTAGATTTTTACTTTAAATTACATATGAAAATTATTTCATTTATCTTCAGTAACCACCTAGGAGAGGATGGCTAAATTTAGTGGACAGAACATAATAAACATCATAATAAAGTCTGAAAATATTTCCAAGGTGATTCAACTATCTTGCATTTTCACCAGCAGTATACACTCCACATTCTTGTCAAACTTCACACAGATAGTTTTTAATATCAAAAGTGTTTTATCCTTTTCAATAAATAAGCAGCATTACCTCACTATAGTTCTAATGTTCATTTCTTTTATAACTAATGGTACCAAGCACATTTTCATTCACATGGTTGCCAACTATACACTTTGTTTATTTGGCTTGAACCAATAGGCCAAGTTAATTCACAGGAAAGATTTTTTTCAATAAATACTGTTGGAAATTTAGACATAAAATGAATTTAAAAATTTTAATGTATACATTGAGTCACATACAAAAATTTATTAAAAACCAATTATATACTAAAATATAAATCTTAAAGCTGAACTTTTTATAAAAGAACATCTTTGCAACCACAAGTTCAGCCAGTATTTCCTGAAAATTACAGAAAAAGCATAGTCATAAATACAATGGTCCATTGGACTTCACCAAATAAAAAATCGTTTCAAAAGGTGCAATTTAAGAGAAGATAAAACCTGCATTCAAAACATGTATGTGATGTAGGATCTGTGTCCAGAAATATCAACAGAGCTCTAAAGCTTAGCAACAATCAAAACAATATGAAAATGGCCAAAGTACTTGAACAGACTTCACCAAATAAAAATTAAAATTGCAAATACAAAGATATCAAATATGATTAGTTACTTTGAAAATGCAAATTGGAACCATAAAGGGATACCACTAGATAAATGTTTGTTGGGTTTGCTAAACATAGAAACACTGATCACAGGAATTGGTAATACAGCTGTGGAAAACAACATTTTTCATATCCCTATTGATGGGGGAAAAGGAATGGCAAGATCCTCACAGAAACACTGCGGCCAAGGAATGTTCATGTCTCTTGGTAGTACTGCACATGGATGTCCACAGAGGCTTTACATGAGTAATCCAACATGAAAACAACCCAAATGTCCACCATCCAGAAATAGTTTAGCACACTATGACTCCATTATACTAGTGAGGGCACAAAAGCACAAAATACACACTTTAGACCTGTAGACATAATACCTAGGAAGTAAAGAAGACGCTCTAGAGGATAAGACAGTGTTTCTTCCTTCTCTTTAGAAGATAAAGCTAACATCTTACCGATATACTTATAGCCTTCTTCTCCATCCACTATGGGTCTCAGCCACGTGGACCGGAGTCTTGTGCTGTTCACTCTGGCACCTTGAGGAGGGTAGAGTGTAAATAACAGCTCAATTGCGTTGGACTTTTTGATTACTTCAGAGTATTTTCCTTGGCTATCTGTAAAAAAGAAGAGAGAACTGTTTTTTTTTTTTTTTTTTTTTTTTTTTGGTTTTTCGAGACAGGGTTTCTCTGTGTAGCTTTGCGCCTTTCCTGGATCTCGCGCTGTAGCCCAGGCTGGCCTCGAACTCACAGAGATCCGCCTGGCTCTGCCTCCCGAGTGCTGGGATTAAAGGCGTGCGCCACCACCGCCCGGCTGTTTTTTTTTTTAAGTTTTACACATTTTATATGTCTTACATATATCCTACAAAAGATGAAAACTAAAAACTACTTAACAATTTTAGTGGTAACCATTATATTAAAAATATGAATTGTCCTGAATCAGAATTACTTTAACAAAAGTCATATTGCTCATACAGTCCTGACAAAAATGTATAAAGTAAGGGACTTGCCAATATTGGGCTCAGATACTATCATTTTAAAGCAGTGATTGCCAAAGCTACACAAAAAATTAAAATAAGTCATGAACTGCATTACACTCTACATTCCATAGCACAGATGAACATTTTTAATTTTTTAATTGCCATTAAACAGTAAAATCAGATATTCTGACAAAATGTTAAATCAACACAGTTTTACAAACTGGCAATGAAGAAAGAAGAACTAGTATCCCTACACTAACTTAAAAAGAAAACAGATACACCAAGATTCCTTTTCACACTTGTAGTGGACCAAAATTGCCCTCAAGTTCTTCAAGACAGTACCACATCACATTTTCAAAGCACATCTCTGAAGATGTCCTGTTTCCATACACATGAAGAAAACAGGCTCCCAGAAATTACAGAACTTGTCCATATCTTACTCCATGCAAGTGTCATATTATAGCAAAGGAACCCTTGTCAACTAAGCATGACCTGTATTCAGAAGTACACCAGAAAATGGAAACGGGAATCGACACATCTGAATTGCAGAGCAAAACAATCCCTGGTTCTGGCCTTGGGTTTTCTTTCCCTTTTGTAACTTCAGATTTTAGCTACAAAGTCACTGTTCTCAATGGCTTCTGAGAAACTAAAGGGGGAGGAGATTTAATTGGGAAGGGGTGAAGAAGAATAATACAGAAGAGTAAAGGGAAGGAGAGAGAATTTTTTTTTAAGATGTTGGAAAAAGACATAGAAAATCTTTATTTTATATTTATCTAAAAATTACAAATAGTACATATAAGAATATGTGTGTATATATAATTTTAAAATGAAATTACATCACTTGGGGTCAAAAATACTTCTCCTAAGAGCCATAGATTATCTAACAAAAATGCAGTACTAGGCTAAAAAACCTTCTCCTAATTAGTTGGTCAGAGGACTCCAAGAAACCCCTAAAACAATGTTGTCTATTGCTATTGCCCTTGGTAGCCTCCCAGAACTTGAAGATAAGTCCCTATTGCTGAAGACACCAGTTTGGACATAGAGTTCAGAGGGTTTGAGCTGAAACTGACCTCAAAACCTCCTCCACAAAGACTAGCTTTTGCAATACAAAAGGTGGCATGCAAGCTACTAAGGTGTCAGGGACAAGGATAGAATCTCTAGTTAGTGGAAAAATACAGACCCCCGATAAGACAGGGAACTAGATAATCTTACAGTCAGGTTGTCTAGCAACAGGACATTGAGTCAGAGCCCTTGACCCTTTCACCCTGTAAACATCCTATACAAACATCCTGTTAGCTTGCCCCACCTTATGCAAATAACAGCTTCTTGCTCCCCCCACCCTGCAGGAACTATATAAACCCTCTTGGAGAAAAATAAAGTAGCACCTTGATCAGAATCTAGACTAGGTGTATTTCCTTTGTATCTCCTGTCCCTATCATTCCGTCCTTAGGGTAGTCGAGAACCCGTTGAAGCCCTGCAAGCAGGGCACTAAGGGAGGAAAATATTTGGCAGTCCTACTCATCTCTGGTGTTTATGAACCACAATGGTGATCTGATATTGCTAAAGGTGTGATAGTGGTACTAACATGGTGGCAGTAACCAACAGCTCTCTAATGAGCTCAAGGCCCACTTAATAGGAGGAAAACTATGCCTGGTACTGTAACCCTAGAAAACTACACATAGCTAGTGAGGTCATGGGTCTTAGAAGATGACCTATTACAGCCACTTTTCTAAAATATTATAATGCCTAACTACATCCTAATTACTTATCTGTATACCCACAGTTAAGTGAAATGTCATCCTTCACCAAAGAAGCTTCTTTTTGCAGCAGCAGGAGATCATTATAGAAATCTACAACTAATCAAAATACAGAGAACAAATGACTGTGGAATGTCTGGCCCCAGTAGATGAATGTACAATACTACTACACCCAAGACTCAAGGAACAAGGCAGGAAGATTGCAAGAACCAGAGGACCAGAAAGCACGCTGTGAGATGGTGCCTTCTAGCTGTCATAGGCACACCCATAAAATCTCAACTTGGCTGCCTAAAGCAGACCTGAACAAGTCCATCAACAGTCAACATCCCAATGCAGACAGAAGAAATCTCACAGGTCTCCACCCCTAGATCAAAAGTTACAGGATAGAGAGGAAGAACCAGTGCTTGGCAGTGTGGGGGTAATGAGCCTTCTGAATAGCTAACCGATACTGGACGGTCAGCCCTAGAAACTTAAACAGGCAGGCAACACTGTTGAGACCCATCAAGTTGTTGGGTTATATGTTGATTCATTCATATGTATATGTAACAACAGTGGCTAAAAGAAGAGGAAACTTTGAATTGGTAGGGAGGATCAGACATGGGAGGGTTAGGAAAGAGGAGGGGAGAAATTATATAATTAGATTTTAATTAGATTTTTAATTTTGAAGGTAGTTAATATTTATTCTGGCAAAACCTTAATTAGATTTTTTTTAAGAAAAGAAATATTGAAGAAAACCCTCATGGAATGCCTTATTGTGTTTTGCTTCTTTCCTTTCCTCTTATTTTACTTTTTTTGTTAAAAATACCTTTTGGCGGTGGGGGTAAATAAGCACAAGAAAGTTTCACATAATAATTAAGAATGCAGATTTGTTAGTAGGCAGAGAACCAAATGTCAGTCTACTACCTTACAGCTCCAAGGCCTGCCTTCACTGTCTTTCTTGAAAGGACAAGGCCCCCTCCACATGGGATCATTTTAGCATTAACCTCAGAGGTCAATGAAGGTTCTGGGGTGTCTCTAAACAGGTAACTAATCAAAGTCACCAGTCAGGTAGGATAGTTTCCTCAACATCCTCCTCCTCTATCCCACTGTGCCCTGGGGGCTTCACATTGTGGCATCACCCCACAGACAGTTTCTTCTAGAACCCCAGAAAGTGGCTTCACATGAGATGCACAAGCATGCTACCTCAGTATTGTCCACCATTCCCTGAGCTGGAGCTGCACCACCGCTGAGGAGATGTCAGTCTGGAGGTTCAGAGGTTTAGTCCATTACCATCATGGCAGGATATGGTGATATACAGGCAGACATGGTACTGGAGAAGGTGCTAGGAGTTCTACATTTTGTTCCACAGGCAGCAGGAGACTGTGTCACACTGGGCATAGCATGAGCATCTGAGACCTCAAAGTCCACCTCCACAGTGACACACTTCCTCCAACAAGTCTACACCTACTCCAACAAGGTCACACCTCATAATAGTGCCACTCCCTATGGGCCAAGCATTCACACACCTGAACCTATGGGGGGCATTCCTATTCAAACCACCACAATAATACTATGATTAATCTGAAATGCTCCAGTTTAATGAAATGTTCTTCCCTTTCTCTTACCTCAGTGTCCCAGGATGTTCAGATTAAAGCCATTCACATGACTTGATGTTCCTCTCACCTTAGTCTCATGCTTTCAAAATCATGACAACAATATAGTAATAAAAAAATGTAAGCACACAGCAGCAGCTTTCACTGGGCCCATCATACAGGATTCACAAGAAATTTCATTTTACTTTGCTTGGAAAGAGTATGTAATAAATTTACTTCCTACATTGGAAGTAAAACCCTTCCAATTCAGTTGTAAATACTGTTATTGATAAATTAAATTTGAATTAGGCAGTTCTCTTGCTTTACTTATCACAAAATCAATTCCATTTAGACTAATTTAGATGTATGTGTATACATAGACACATTAGATTTTGTGTATACATACTCTAAAGGATAAGGGAGAAATTCAACCAATCTTTAGTCATTAATACTATTGTCAATTTCAAAATGCATATTCTGAAGGAAACTGCAACTGCACGTAGTTTAATATTTTCAATATTAGTTTCTCATGCTATTTTAGTACCAGAGCAAAACCTAGTATATGATGGAACAAACAGAGATATAGCTATCCTCAATAGTTACATCAGCCTGTTAAGGAAAATGTGCCCATGTGTGTAGTGGGTAGCCATTCCAGCTTTGATCTGGAAGTTCCAACCCCCATTGAATGTGTGTAGAACATTTGTCTAATGATGCAAAAATATGTTGCATTCTTTTATGTTGCATGTCTTTAACTCTGGGAAGGCATGTTACTGTCCCCATCTAAAACATCTGATTGGTCTAATAAAGAGCTGAACTGCCAATAGCAAGGCAGGAGAAAGCATAGGAAGGGATGGAAGGAAGAGAGAATAAATAGAAGAGGAAAAAGAGAGAAAGAAAGAGAAACAAGGAGAAAGAAAAGGAGGACATCAGGGGCCAGCCACCCAGCTATACAGCAAGCCATGGAGTTAGAAGTAAAGAAAGATATACAGAATAGAGAAAGGTAATAGCCCAGAGGCAAAAGATAGACAGGACAATTTAAGAAAAGCTGGCTAGAAAGAAGCCAAGCTAAGGCCGGGCTTTTATAATAAAGGGTAAGTGTCCCTGTGTGATTTATTTGGGAGCTGGATGGCAGGCCTCCCAAAAGAGCCAAAGAACAAAGAGTAAGAAAACAACATTTTGGCATCGCAATGTGGGCTCAAATTTCCATGTAGGACCTGGGAAAGCTAAAAAGAAAAAGAAAAAAGAAAAGCAGCTCCTTTAAGAGGCACTGCTGTTCAGCCATCAGGGCAGCACTAAATAGAAATGGCAAA